CCTGGGTGTCACTGGATCCTGGGTGTGACTGTGGACCTGGGTGTCACTGTGGACCCTGGGTGTCACTGGATCCTGGGTGTGACTGTGGACCTGGGTGTCACTGTGGACGCTGGGTGTCACTGTAGACCTGGGTGTCACTGTGGGCCTGGGTGTCACTGTGGGCCCTGGGTGTCACTATAGACCTGGGTGTCACTGTGGACCCTGGGTGTCACTGGATCCTGGGTGTGACTGTGGACCTGGGTGTCACTGTGGACCTGGGTGTCACTGTGGACGCTGGGTGTCACTGTGGGCCTGGGTGTCACTGTGGGCCCTGGGTGTCACTGTAGACCTGGGTGTCACTGTGGACCTGGGTGTCACTGTGGACCTGGGTGTCACTGTGGACCTGGGTGTCACTGGCCCTGGGTGTCACTGGCCCTGGGAGACACTGGACCCTGGGTGTCACTGTGGACCTGGGTGTCACTGGCCCTGGGTGTCACTGGGGACCTGGGTGTCACTGTGGACCTGGGTGTCACTGGGTGTCACTGTGGACCTGGGTGTCATTGGCCTTGGGTGTCACTGGGGACCTGGGTGTCACTGTGGACCTGGGTGTCACTGTGGACCTGGGTGTCACTGGGTGTCACTGGCCCTGGGTGTCACTGTGGACCCTGGGTGTCACTGTGGCCCTGGGTGTCACTGTGGACCTGGGTGTCACTGGCCCTGGGTGTCACTGAGGACCTGGGTGTCACTGGACCCTGGGCACTAGTCCCCTGCTTGGCTGGGCCTGTCTGTATGTTTCCCCTCCCTTACCCCCGGGGTACGGCCCTCAGCCTGGGCTTGGAGGTGTCATGGTGGGTTGGTCCTCAGATCTGGTCGCTGCTGTGGTTGCAGGGCTGGGGTTGAACCCTGGGCCACTCGACCCCTGGGAGACACCCCTGTATATTTTACTTAGAGGCAGGGTCTTGCTGAGTTGCCCAGGCTGCCCACTCACTGGCCTTGGACTTGTGACCCTCCTGCCTCACTCCTGAGTGGTGGGCGCCCAGTGGAAGGGAAGAAGCCGTCTTTGGCTGGACAGAGGTTTGGGATCTGCTTTTGCTGCTGGAGATGCGTGGGACGGATGCGCCTGCTGATGGCCTTGGTGCCACCCCTGGCTCTAGAGGCTGTTCTCAGACCTGGCCAGAGGGCTGGCTTGTACCTGAGCTTGGCAAGACCTCCTCCTGGCAGCTGTGTGTGTCACAGTGAAGCAGGGACACTTAGAACTCCCCAGGCCTTCCCTCAGGACGTCCCAGGGCATTGCGGCTGCTCCCCCCACCACCCCAGGGTCCTGTGCTCTTCCCGACACACCGCTCTCCTGCCTACCCAACCCAACAAATGTGTCTCCTCTTTGTAGGTGGTTAGGTTATTTCCAGTTTGTGTTCTGACAACACTGAGATGCGGTTCTTGTCCCTTGTCCCATCCACCCTCACAGGACTTAGGGGGAAGCTCCCGACCACTGCTCCTCCCTCTCTCTCTTCCTCGAGCTGCTGCCCGTCTCCATGTCCCCGCCTGGTTCTCGTTCCCTCACACAGGGCCCCTGGCTCCAGGCAGGCCCAGCCCCGCACCTGGTGGCCCTGCACCCTGAGGTCCCGTCCCACACGGCTTCTTGGCCCCACGCGCTGGAACGTTCACCCGCTATGGCCCGCCTCCCGCCTCCCCTGCCAGTGGGCCCAGCTTTGGGAGGAGAGAGCCTGTGCCTCCTGGCTGTCCCCAGAGCCCTTCACACCAGCTGTCTGCGCGTTACAAACCAACAACATSACTGCAGGAATGAGCCGAGTGGGAAGCAAAGTGTGATTAATGTCGTCAGAGCAGTGAGCGTGGCCTGAGCAACAGCCGGGACACAGGAAACCCCCAGCCACCTGGGTCCCGCCTTGTTGCCCCCCGCGAGCCCGCAGGCAGTGGGCGTCCTGGGAGCTCCCAGCATCCATGGCAAAACCTTCCAGCAATTTCTATAAGCTCAGAGAATGGTGGAGGCAGGGGGCCATCTGGTGGCCAGTTGCTGGAGGTGAAGGAAGGAGCCCTCGGTGTGGGCATCTGGGGCATGTCCACCTTCCCGTGTGGCCCTCGCCTCACCCCCAGTCTCGGGGCCACGCGGTCTAGTCCAGGCTGGTGGTGTTGGTCAGATAGAAGGGGCGAATCGCCACTCGGAAGCCGCTGAAGGCCCCCGAGGTGCAGGGGAAGGCGGCAGCCCTCCTGGAACTGTTGGTGGCYGCGGCACTGGGGATCATGGCCTTTAGGCCCTCAAAGTCGGTGACATCCGCCACAAAGCGCCCTTCGCAGAGGATCAGGGCTTTGTTCTCGTAGCTGATGGTGGGGTCCCGGTAGCTGGACTGGGTGAGGCCCAGCACGGGGAGCTCTCCGGAGGAGCAGGACAGCCCATAGTTCCAGCAGCTCTGCATGGTGGGGAGGTAGAGCAGAGTCCAGGACGTCAGCTTGCTCCTGAAGAGGAAGCTGGGGTGTTGTGGGGTCTGGAAGGACTGGTAGGGCCCATATCTGCCGCCATAAGGTTCTGGAGTGTACGGGAATGCAGACCGTGACCGGGACCCATACCACAGCCTCTGGTTCTGGCTGTTCCTGGAGTCCCTCGTCACCATAGCGCTCCAGGTGGCTGAGGTGTACATCCGGGGCATGTAGGTGTCCTCAGTGAGGTTCAGGCCTCGGTACTGGGCCAGCAGCGGGAGGGGCACCGTGTGGAACTCCAGGGCCTGCATGATCTTCTTCTGGAACAGGGCCTCGTGAGCCCGGTACAGGGACAGGTTGAACTGCAGCTCAAAGAGGTCCTCGGGCAGCATCATGGGGAAGCGGACATGCTGGACCAGGTCCTCCACCTCCCCGTGGGAGGTGCCCGTGCCCCTGCTCCAGATGTCCAAGGCCTGGAGCAGGGCCAGCTCGCTGGACACCGTCAACTCAGTCCTGGGAAGCAGCACCTGGAGCAGGGCTGTGGGGACACTCAGCCAGTCCTCCACCTGTGTCAGGGCCTCAAAGTTCCAGGCCAGGAACTGCACGCACAGCTCCTCCAGCAGCGCATCTCCAGTGGCCAGTGCATAGGCGTAGAGGTCCAGGGGTGCGCGGAAGGAGGGGTCCTGGGGGAGCAGTGTGGCGAAGAGGCGCCCGCAGTAGGCCTGCAGCTGCTGGGCCCTGTAGGCCGAGGCCAGCTGGTGGAAGCACTTGACTGACTGCAGGGAGACCTCTATCCTCCGGGAGTAGAAGTACCTGGGGACACAGCCATCTCTTACACCTCCTCACTGGCCCCGACAGGGGGCGCTGTCTCCCCCACTCTCCAAGCCCCACACCTCACCCCGGCTGAGAGCCACTTCAGGGTATGRGACCATGGGCGAGGGACTGCGGAGGGGACACCCACGCCTCGTCCTCCCTCCCCGTGACGAGGCCCCCTCCCTGTCTCCCCTGCTGTCATCATGGGCACCTTCATGGTGGGTCTGGGCTGGACCTCAGGCACCCTGGGCACTGGCCTCCTGTCCTGCAGCCATGCCCCGGCTGACCCTTCTCTGCCCAGCACCTGTTCACATCCTGTGGCTTCCCGTCTGCTCTCCCTGTGACCAAGAGCCCACGAGGGCAGTGGGCGCGGTGTGCTCAGAGGTGATCCCAGACAGCCCACTCCCTGCTGTCCTCGTCACAGCCAACTTGGAGGCCGAACTGGGCAGCTGACTCCTCTGGCCACAGCCCACCCAGGACAGACATTCACTGACCCATCCTGAAGCAGGCAGGCCTCTCATGGGGAGGGTGCCAGGCGGCAGGCTGTTGATGGCYGCTCAGATGGCACAGACAAGTTAGGAAGGCCACCAGAGAAGGGTTGTTATCGGCTTTTTTCTTTTTTTTTTTTTCTTTTTCTTTTTCTTTTTTTTGGTCTTGCTGAATTGCTGAGGCTGAGGCTGACCTTGAATTTGTGATCCTCCTGCCTCAGACTCCTGGGTAGATGGGATTACAGGCRTGTGCCACTGCACCCAGCTGTCACTAGCTTTTAAATGTCATCCTGTGCCAGAATGGTCCCTGGGCGGCTGAGTCCCTACTGCATCCACCGAGGCGCAGAGGCTCCCGCCGGCTGGCCCCCAGGCCAGCTTCTCCAGGCAGAGGTCAGGGCCACTTTGGGTTCATCATGCCTCAGACCACCTCCCCCATCCAGGGCCCAGCCTCAGGTTGGCACCTCTCAGGGGGCCCCATGGCCAGGGGGAGGCAGAGACAGGGATCAGGTGGGTGTYCCGGTCCTGCTGGTCTCTCTTGGGGAAGAGAGCTCATTGCGAGGGAGGAAAAAGGCCCRAGGCCGAGGGGAACCAGTGGCCCCAGAGACCCAGGGAGACGGGTGGAGGGCTGGCTAAGCGCCAGGACACCCCTCTTGGTCCACGGTGGCCTTGGGAGTGAGGGGCAGAGGGAAGGAGTATGGGTGGCCTTCTGAGGTCTTGGGCCTCACTGCAGCTTCCCTGCCTGCCTGGGGAAGAGAGGGAGAGACAGAGGCGGGGAGGCCAGGGGAGGCCAGGGGAGGCCTGGGGTCGCTGACCTCCGACCCAGGGCAGTGGCGCTGGCTGGCTAGGAAGGCCGGGGTGGGCGCCTGCCCCTTCTCTGTCATGCTGTAGAAACGGAGCTCGGCATTCCGGTGGCACAGACCACTCACCAAGTTTTATACGAGGCTGGAAGGAAACTCGTTAGTCTGTTTCTAATCGCCAGTATCGCTCACACTGAAATGCCATTTTCTGCCATAGAAAGCTTTGGGTCATAGAATGAGAGAATGAATTTTAACAGACGCAGTGTTTAAAACATGGCTGCTTTCCAAACACAAGCCCCAGGAGGCAGCGGGCGGTCGAGCTGTACACCCAGGCTGGCCGGRAGGCCTAGGGCTCAGGAGCAGGGCCTGGCCTCTGCCGTGATGCGGGCCCCCACTCTCCCTTTCCCCGTCTGTGAAAGGGAGCTGAGCCCTGGCTGAGCCCCAGGGTGACTGAGCCCGGGCCTGCTGAGAGACACATTGGCCCTGTCTAGCCACTGCTGCGCCTCATCGGAAGTCCGAGCCATTTGGCTTTTTCATGCCTCTGTGGGAGATTTCTCCTGACCAGGGGGCAGGCCCAGCACCCCTTCCCAGCTCCTCCTGCACCTGCCCGCCCGGCCACCCCACAACAAGCTGGCTCTGCTGCCCAAGTAAAATTCCTGATCCATCCACAGAGCGCTCAGAGACGTCGTCTGTGGCATGTGGTGATTCAGGGAGACGTTCACTTGTGCGTCAGGAAAATGGATGTATTTATGTGTATGCGGGTGTGAGCACGGGGGACAACGCCTGGGCCCAGTCGAGTGTGCAAGTGAGAGTGTGGGTGAGCACACGAGTGAGGGGGCCTGGGCCGTGTGCGCAGAGGCTCAGAGGGCGCAAGCGTGCCTGCAGCAAGTGCGTGTGAGAATTCGTGAACCTGGATCTGCGGGAGCACGGGCGTGTGCATGTGCACAATTGTGCAAATGCTTGTGTGAGGGTGTGAGTTGCTTGTGTGCACAGTGGGTCACAACAGTCCCGCTGTGCTGGTGCTGTCGCCCTCACCCCCAAGGGTCTCTGAAAGAGGGACCCAGCCCAGGGCACTGCTGGAGTCCCCGAGGACGCGGCGACTCACCTGATAAAGTCCCTGACCACGGGCATGCACTCGGAGTCCACGCTCATGGTGACGTTGCTGCCCGGCGCCCCCGACAGGGCCTGCGCCTCGGGGTTGGCGTTCAGGATCAGTGTGTGGGCACAGAGGTCCAGCTCCTCCGGCCCCTGTCCCACCACGTGGATGAAGAGGTCACAGTCCCTCTGGTTGTCGAAGACCTGGCCGAGCGCGAAGGAGAGCTCCTCGGAGAGGTCGAGGGTGTGGGCGCTCCTGGTTTCTAGAGGGCGAGGGAGGGGCTCACTGGCTCTGTGACCCCAGCCCACCCCACCCCCAGGAGTCAGTTTTGGGGCCTGCTGAAGGTGCTGCTGCCCGAGGACCTGCCGGAAAGGCTCCAGGAAGAGGCCTGGGATCATGCCGAGCCTGCCGGGTGCGGGCAGCTGCCCTGGGTCAGGCGGGACCCTGCCGACCCTCCGGGCCTGCAGGTGGCCTCTGCCCCACTCTGGGCCCTGCTTGGGTGGCTTGAGGAGCTAGGCCCTGGGGCAAACCTAGGTCAGACCTCAGGGACCCTGGAGCAGGGAGGCCTGGGCAGCCCCTCTCTGCCCTCCCAAAGCCCGGTCCGTGTTAGAACAGGTCCTCTCTGCATGGGCAGCTCCGAGTGGAGGCCAGCGTTGAGACCAGGTGGGGCAGCCCCGCTCTCCCCTGACTCCCAGCCCTCATGGCCCAGTTACGCCTCCAGTGTCGTCCTCAGTGTGAGCCCCCGCCCAGCCAGCCTTGGTCCCCAGCTTGTCCCCACAGGTGGGATCTGACACCCATGTCTTGGGGGCCCCAGCTCAGGGTGGAGAGCACCAGGCCCCGTGTGGGCCAGCCCAGCAAGAGCTGCCCTGGCAGGGAGGGAGGGGCTCCCCCCAGGCGTCTGGCTTGCAGAGCAGGCTGGGCCTTCGAGCGGGGAAGGAGTCGGGGCCTGGGCAGGGCCAGGGGCACCCTGGCCTTCCCCCATCGGGAGGTCTCCACCCCTGCCTGTGCTCTGTGGCCTGGGCCGGGAGAGCCGTGCGCCGGGTTCCACAGTGCAACCCTGCTGTTGGGGAGACCAGCCTCCCGGGCACTGGGTGGGGCTGCTCGCCTGGCCCTGGGCAGTCAGGGGACTAAGGTACTTCTGAAGGGGCTCCACAAGGGGCTCCTCCTGGGAGGGAGTGGGCTCTGCAGACTTCCGGCCTCTCGTGGAGAGTGGGCGGACGACACCCCGACTCCGAAGGTTGTGCGGGGGGCAGAGATGTGAGCACAGTCCYCGCTCCTGGTCCCTCGGAACCCCGACGGGTGACGCCGAGGCACTGGGGCCACTCACCGTTGGAGCAGACCACGCTGGCGTCCTGCTTGTGCCTGCAGTTGCTCTTCAGCCAGCCCAGGGATCTGCAGTCGGCCAGGGAGGGCTCTGAGCCTGTGCACTCGACCTCGTCCAGCATGACAGGGCCCGTTCCTGTGGCACAGCCGGGGGGACAAGGCTGGCTGGGGAGGCCCTGCCAACAGGGCCAGGGCTGCCTCAGACAGTGGAAACCTCTGGGTGGTCCCAGGGAGCAGATTCCCGGGAGCAGAGCTTTGGGCTGGAGAGGGCACACAGTGAGGCTCCTGAGCCACTCGCCCAGCACCTGTCACCCCGGCCTGAAGGAACTGCCCCTTGGGCCTTCTGCAGGGCTTCGGGCCACTGAGGGTCTGCACTAGTAGGGAGAGTCTGCCCGTCCCTGCAGCCCAGCAGCCTCATCTTGGGGGATTCTTACTCTCCTCAGCTTTGGGGGATAGAACAGGCCCCACCTGGCCCGAAGGCGGCTCCACCCAGGGCCTCTGTGGCGTTCTCGAACCCCAGCGCCCGGCAGACCACGCTGGCGTCAGTGAGGTCCCAGAGGTTGTCGCACACCGTGCCCCACTGCCCTCCGTAGAAGATCTCCACGCGGCCCTCGTTGGCCGCGGCCCCGTTGGCCAGCCGCATGTCCCCATCCTTCACACCTGCGGGGAAAGCCACGGTCAGCTGGGAGGAGATCTGGCCCCCAGGGCACACCCTCCCTCGCTGCCCAGCCAGGGGTGAGGGTCCACTGGGAGGAGGGAACGGCCACATGGAGCACAGGGGTTAAGTTTCCTTTCCTTGTCTTCAAGCCCTGAGCTCTCGGCTCCCCAGAAAAGGGACACCAGGAGCCTTGTGCTCTAGCACCTCAGCGCAGAGGTGGTGAGACCCCCAGGGAAGGATGGGAAGGGAAGGAGCCCGCCTGTGGCTCTGATGCCAGCCTGTGGGGCAGCAGGCCAGGGAGCCTGGACACTCAGGCAGGACCAAGGCCCTGTGACTCACCATGGGGTCCTGGGGGACCCACTGTCATTGAAATTTTGGAAAGTTGAAGGGGTGCTGGGTCCAGCTCAGCTCCAGCACACCCCAGCTCAGCAGCACATCCAGGTGGAGTCARCCGGCCGGCCCCCAGCCTCCAGGCCCTGGGTCTGAGCTGGAGCAGGAACAGCAGCTCTGGTCGCCACGCAATATCGAAAGAGAGCATAGACCAGGTGTTTCCAGTCCAGGAAAGAATCAGAAGTCAAGGTTCAAAGCCTGGCTCTCTCTGCTTCCTGGGGTGAGCCACTTCCCTCTGCCACACTCTCCGGCCATGAGACGCAGCCTCCCCTCAGCCCCCAGGAGTGGAACCGGCCCCAGGAGTGAAACCGCGAGCCCTCACATAAACGTTTCCTCTTTACAGTTGTTCTGGTCAGATCCTTTCGTCACAGCCGAGAAAAAGGTGACTAAAACAATGGCCAACCTGCTTTAGCTGGTGGATAGGCCACTGTGCTCTAAGGTAGAGTAAGTCATGGAAGATGGTTTACTGACCCTTTGCCTTAAAAGTAGGCCTTTAGATTCAAAATGTGCAAGACTTGTGTTTTTATAGTGCCTATATGTAGATATGACTTTTCTTACATATTTCCCATCATATGTGAATATCGTGTGTTCAGTGACTTGGAGATGGTGAACCCGAGAGCTGGTCTCAATTTTTTTTTTTTTTTTTTAGTCTGTGATGCACCTTTGGCAGATTGTATTTAAGTCTGAAATAAACAGGTCAACAGATGTCTGGGGGAAAGCCAGAGCTGGAAATTAGGAGGAATAAATCCTAGACTTAACTCTTTCACTAGTTGAGTGATCTTAAGCAAGTCTGTGATGATCAACGTTGAGTTTCGTTTTTAAGATTAAAGTAAGAAGCTTTTCCCAGATTCCCTTCATTAAAAGTTTATTCAGCTTCTCCCAGGTGGCAGGCATTGTTCGAGGCCATCGATGTTTTCCTGAGGTTCCTCTGATTTGAGAATCTGCGTGTTATTCTTTGACAGACATTTTAAGGATTAAATAAGCAATGTGATTTTATCGCCTAAGGCATAGCTTTAAAACTTATAAACAACCTGAATAAGAAGTGATTTCAAGTCCTTCTTTTTCCTGGATGCCATCTCTCAGGCTTTCTCTCATTTATAAAGCTATCAAATGAGTATGAGTGTGTGTACTGATGTAAGAGTGTGAAGAGAAACAGAAAAAAACTTGAGTTTATGAGGTTTAGAAAACAAAGGGGTATTTAGAAATGTGATATGTTATTTTTGTAAAGGAAAGTCATTTTAAAGGGAAAAGTATATAAAGTCAGAGTATTTTATAGTGATGATATTAAAGGTTATATTAATGATCCTCTGCATTTAGTTGACAAAAGGAAAAATGTGATCTTTACCCAAGTTGCACTGTTCTGAGTTCAATGCTAAGTGTTATTATCTCTATTTTGCCACTAAGAGAAATGAGGCAGGGACAAATTAGATAAGACTGTTCGATATTACACAGAATGCCAATGAAAAAGGAACTTTAACCCAGGACTGCACTGCTATCAGTAAAATAAGCATATAGCTTCAGTATGTTTATGCACTCATTAAAAAAAGGGGCTGGGGATACAGCTCAGTTGGTCAAGGGCTTGTCTTGCATGCATAAGGCCCTGGGTTCAACCCCCAGCACCACCAAAAAAAAAAAAAAAGTACCACTGCATGGGTACATTACTTATTATTATAAACATATAACACACAAAAAGAAAATTAAAAAGCCTGCAGTAGATAAAAAATAAAGTCAGAGTTCAATGCTTTCCATAGTCTGAGCATAGACTCCCAGGATGTAGCACATGGGGCCATGGATTTACGTTCTCCTTTGGAGGCTCAGATAGTACAAGGTGCATAAGAAAGTACACTAAGGCAACTCCTTCCGTAACTCTTCCAAGTCATTGATCTGCTTCTAGAAATCCAGTGGGTCCAGGGGCTGGGCTGGGGCTCAGCAGTAGAGCCCTCACCTAGCACATGCGAAGCACCAGGTTCCATCCTCAGCACCACATAAAATAAATAAATAAAAATAAAGGTATTGTGTCCAACTATAACTAAAAAAATTAAAAAGCCCAAATCTGGTGGGTCCAGCGCCTTTAGAACTGGGAGAATGAAGGTTAAAACCTACGTCTTGCGTGTTAGTGGCACGTTTGTGCTGAGCATCATTTTGCACTGTGGGCTGTTCAGTCTCTCCAGAAGAACACACACTGGGTGGGCTCTGGGTCACTGTGAACGCCAGAAGCAGGGAAGGAAAACTGCCTTCTCCTAGGAGAAGTGACAGAATTCCAGTCTTCTACCTGGTCCTGGGGCATCCAGACTGAGGAGAACTGCCTGCAGCTGACTCTGATGTACAAGCTGACTTTGGGGTTTACAGAGAAGCTGCCTCAGGTACTCTCTCTGCTCTTCGGCATCAGTCCTTTCGCAAATACTTTAAAAAATTTAATTATTTCATTTGAAAATAAAGTATCAAGAATTTTAAATTCCAATGGTGAGTACCATTAGAATTAAAAATATGGCCAGGAAAACACCATTGCCTTCACAAAATTTGCTAAAATGACATAAAAAGGGTCGCCATTTCTCCTTTCTTGTGTTCACAGCTGGTTATCGATCACGCATTGGCCCCACTAATTAGCATGTTCCTCTTCCTGGTGGCCTGGATTGTCCGTTTACTTAATTTTATTGTATGTAAGTACTTTGTTGTAAGCCACACAAAATAGTTTGGGGGACGTCAATTTAAATATGGGTGTACACTTGTGTGTGTATACGAGCGTGCATATCATTTAAAGATGCCTAAAACCATATTTTAAAAGAGATTCAAAGTATGGTTTCTACTRGATTCWTATAGCCTTTATACCATTGTAAAGTTAGAAAATTCCAAGTCCGTCTATACTTCAAGCCCAGAGAGGAAACTGGGCTCCTGCCCCCCACTCGTCCTCCCGAGCCTCAGCCTACTGGCACCCCTCCACCCTGCTGGTACGACAGTCTAGCAGGAGCTTGGTGCCTGAACTGGGGTCACCCACACTGAAGGGCGGTGATCAGGGGGTGTGTCAGGTCTGTGCGGGGCCACCAGGACAGGACAGGGACTGCAAGACCCACAATGTCAAGAGTGCAGGTGTGACAGTGGAGCCAAAGTGAGTCCATCTTGTTCTGTGACTCCATTCTGTAAAACAACCAGGCCAACTAGAAGGGTCATGGCCAGGGCAAGTTGTTCTCTTCCTTTTGCTAGAGAAACCTTTAAGAACACGGAACTACCTAATGGGGCACTGTTTCTGAAACTAGTGTAACAGGGCTCTGTTTCTGTAACTGGGGTGACTGGGCTAACTGATTGGCTAAGTGTCCCTCCGCCTGACTGCACTCTCTGGCTTCTGTAACCTGGCTGGTTTGCATTGGCTGGACCCACAGATGTTCCTTTTGTGGTTTTCAGGCTTATAAGGAGCACCCTTGCCATTGTTCGGGGCTGATCAAGGGAAAGATTTATGTTCTGGTCAGTCACCACCAGTGTGCTTCAATAAAGGCTTGATTCGATTATACATGAGTGGTCTGGAAGTCAGTTTATGAAACTCCGGGACGAAGCTTTAACTACCACACAGGGAAGAGCGTCCAGGGCCCTGTGAAACCTGCCCTGCATCCTCAGGCCTTGGCCTCAGCACAGCCCCAGTGGCTGCTGGTTGATTGGCAACCCTGCTTGGCTCTGCTGGCTCCCATGGGGGGGGGGTATTCCTCAGTATTTCAATCACCTGCATCTCATCTGGGCCCAAGGGAGCCCCAGTTYCCCCAGAATCTACAAGCCACATCACTGGGGGTGACCAGGGCTCCTCCATGCAGGAGAGAAGACCCCCATTAATCCCTGRGACCAGGCACCAGCAGGACACCTCCCTAAGGAGGGGCTTGATCCACAGAGCAAGGGCCCAGCAGCCCCACAGGCTTTGCTTTGGGGTTTTCCAGTGGCTCAACTCACCTTGAATCCCGGGGACCAGCAGCCACACCCAGAGGAGGCAAGGGAGAGCCATGGCCCTGTGGTGGAGGGAAGTGGCAGAGTGAGACCAGGACTGTTTCTTCCACCACCTTCTTCCAACCTGGGGGCCCAGGGTGGCAGGCAGCCCTCTCCTGAAAGCCCTATGGCAGGTGTGATGCACGCCCTGAGCGGGGCGCTCACCTGGTCTGCAGGCMGGGCCTTGACGGGTGAGTGAGGCTGTGTTGGAGGAAGAGGGTGGGCTGGGCTGTCTGCGGGCAGTGGAGGTGAGGGGGAGGGTGTGGGGACCCTGGTAGGGCAGGGGCTTATCTACAGGCAGCAGACCCCTGTGGGGTGTGCCACAGAGGTTGGCGGCAAAGGTGGAGAGTGGGAGGGAGAGGACCGAGTGGGGACAGGGCACCGATTAGGAGGAGGCCGCAGGACCAGGCCCAGAGTGTCAGAGACTGATGGCCGAGAGAGGTGTGTGGGCTGGGGACGTGGAGAGAAGGGCTCCGGTGGAGGCCCAGCTCATGAGCAGCCAGGTGGGAGTGGGGTCATGACGAAGGTACTGAGGCTCAGAGACTGGGGCCATCAAGGCCAAGGGCCAGGCTGGGCCTGGGAGGTCTCAGGSCTTCAGCTTTTGGGCTAGAGCTCTGTGCTGTATGTAATTCTCCTTTTATTTTATTTTATTTAYTTATTTTAGGTATTGGGCATTTAATCCTGGTGCMCTTCACYACTGAGCTACATYCCCAGCAATTCTTAAAATTTTTCAGATTTTGAGACAGGTCTCACTAAGTTGTGGAGGACATCACTACGTTGCTGAGGCTGGCCTCTAGAGCAGCCGGGATTACAGGCAAGCACCACTACGCCTGGCCGCTATACTTGATGCACAGGTAGGAACAGAGCCAGGTGACAGCCCTGTGCCACCCAGTCTACTCTCCACAGTCCCTCCAGCAGGGTGCTGGCTGTGCTCTGGGCCGGGAACCTTGAGGCTGGGCCTGGTTCTCTGCTGCTGAGAGTGGGGGCCTGGTGGGTGGCAGGAGGTGTACCCCTCTACACTGGGACCTGCATGAACAAGCTGGGGGGCCCCAGGCCCCCTGGCAAGTGAGGAGTTTGCCCTCTGCAGGGTGTGCCCCCACCAACACCACTCCACCCCCTCCCAGGACCCTGGAAGTGCCTCCACAATCCCTCCCCGTCCCCTGTACAATCGAATGAGCCAAAGCCTGGAGAGCTCGGCTGGTTCCAGGTCACATGGCTGGCGAGCCTCAGGCAGGGTCTGTGGTGCCCCTCTCTTCCACAGGGGTCTCTGTAGGGCCTGAAGGATGGGGCACCCACCTCCCTGACCTGGCACCACCCCAGTCTTAGCACCGTGCCTGGGAAACCTCTATCCCAAGTGCATGGAGGTGGCTGGTCTCCCTCTTTACTTGTTCACATGGGACAAGAATTCGGGGCCTTGGGAACAGAGATGCATGCACCCAGAGATGGTGTATGGCATGTGAACGTGGCTGACTCTGGGTGGCAGCGCTGTTTGCCTGGAGAATTGGGACAAGGCCGCCTGTGCTGGCTCATAGGGTCTTTTGGTCCTTCATACAAATGAAGGAAAGTCACCCTTCTTTCAGGAAGGTGCAGAATGCACAGAGGCTGAGGGCCGAATTCTTACCCTCGCAGCTGGTGTCCTTGTGCAGGGAACAACCTACCCAACTGTACCAAGAGGCCCTGCAGGTCTGGGAGCAGGAAAGATGGGTCCTGGGCTCGGGAGCACCAGTCCCCCAGCTCCAGGCCCAGATGCCGGTGGGAGGCTTCACCATCTCCCGATGGCTCAGTGTAGAGAGAGGAAAGCCCTGGCCTGAGAGCAAGAGCGGGAGCTTACCTGTCGAGGCAGCGACTGAAGGCTGTGCTGGTCCCCCTGCTGCAGTTGCTGAGCCCTCTGCAGATGGGTCCTTGGCCCCCAACCCTCCTAGAGCAGAGCAGGCCAGGCCGGTCCCAGGAAATGCTTCAGAAAACCAAGTCTGGTTTCGATTTCCAGAAACCACCTGACCAAGGTCTGCTCTGGGATTGGCTGCTGAAGACCCCTCACAGTGCCCTTCATCCCCCTCTGCCTAGTGGGGTGGCAACGCACCAAGCACTGTCTGACCTGATAAGGCCAGCAGCCCAGTGGAAGTGGAAACACTCTTGAGGGGGTGGGAAGTGTTGGGGCGGGGGCAGGGGGAGGCAGGGCTGCTGGGTGGAGCAACAGGGGCTCTGGGCCAGAGGGCTTGTAGCTGTGTCTGGCAAGCTACCAGCTTGTCTGGGCCTGGCACTCATTGGCTGGGCAGCCTGTGTGGTGGTGATTGTGCACAAATCCATTGCTTGAGCTTTTGGCATGCTGCCCACAGTGGGCCACACCCTGGGAGGCTCCATGCACTGACCCTGGCCAGGGGCAGGGAGGCCCTGAGACCCGGGAGACAGTGTGCTTTGGGGTGAAGCCAGTGAGTGGATGAGCCCGACCCTCACACAGCCACTGGCCCCACAGCCTGTGCTCTGCACCACCCGACTGCGTCCACCACCTCCTGACATCCCTGGGGGCAGGGCAGTCTCTGGAGCACAATGGCCCTGCTGGGCTCACACCCCTTCCCCTTCCTCCCATGGAAAGCCCCGGTGCCTTGACTTCCTCTGGGGGAGCAGCTCCTGTGATTCCAGAGGGCGCCAGGCTCCCCAGTCTGAGCTGGGCCTGGCTGGCGAGAGCCCGCAGCCCCTCAGCACATGGATGGCTTCGGGAGGGACCCAGGAGCCCAGCTGTCCCAGCAGGAGCTGGCTCTGGGCTTAGGGAGAATTGTCTGGGCTGAGATGCCGGAGAGTGCAGCTACAGCCTGGCTGGCCCAAGTCAGGGCCAGGCCTGGCCTCTGGGCCAGCAGGCCCTCTGCTGTGACACCACTGGCATGCTGAGGTCCTAGAGCGGGGTGTACTCCTGAATGTGCCAGGGCTCTCCCATCAGGCTGGAGGAGAATCACCCAGAACAAATTTCCAGGGCACTGTCACCCCGCTAAGGTGGGGACAGGCATGGGCACTTTAAAAGCCCCCAGTGGCTCCACTGAGTGGCCAGCTCTGCTTCCCCGAAAGCCGAGAGCCCAGCTTGCAAGTGCAGGTGTCGGGGAGTCGTGACCACATGTCCCGGCCATCCAGGTCCCAGAGGAGCTGTGAAGACCCAGGGAGACTGCAGACGAGGCAACTTACAGCCTCCTCAGGTCGAGGCCCCCGGGGCTGGTCCACACAGTCCCTGACAGCTATTCCTCATCCTCCCCGGGCGTGGCGGGGGGACAGCAGCCCAGCTCCCGCCTGTGGCTCCTGGAGTTGCTCCTCTAAGAGCCAGCCAAGACCGACTGCTCCCTCCTCCTGGGTTGGCAGCTCCTCATCCTAGCCGCTTCTCCTCCGTCCCTGCCCAGGCCCTTGGTGCTCAGTCGCCGACACTCTGGGTTTTGGCTTGCGTGACCCTGCTTTCTGGGTCCTTCTTGAGGTCCCCTTCCGGGGGGGGTCCTTATGTCCTTTCGAGGTCTCCCTCCCTGGCTGTACAAGTTCCCTGCCTGATTAGGATGATCTTGGGAGGTTGCAGCACAGGGACTCTCTGMAAAGGGGTGACGGGGGGAAGGGGCCGCGCGGTATCTGTGGCTGTGCAGCGGCACTGTCAGCACCTCAGGCTGCCAGGATGGGTGGTCACTGGGCCTAGACAGGACTAGGCAAAGCCCTGGGGAGTCAGATTCCTCCCAGTCACCCACAAGATCTCCTGGGAAGGAGGGACAGGGCTGAAGGGACAGGGGAATGACGGACAAGCTTGCTGCCACCACCAGCTCCCCTCTCTCTGGCTGCACCTCCGTCTTGTTCTTCCCTCCTGTTTTGAGGTGCCGCGGTCTTTGCATGAGGATTCTGTGATCCTTGGGAGGGCCCAGACCTCTCACCTGAGCACCACCTCCTCACCCGGGCTCCGAGGCGTACCCACCAGGATGTGCAACAACACGGGTACCTGCATGTGGCCGCTCAGAGCCCTTACGCATATTCACTCACTATCCACATGGCCAGGACACCAGGGGAGGGAAGTCAGGGAATGTGTCCTGGACACACAGCAAGGGCCAGCAGGGCTGAGGAGCCTGTGCAGACCATGGAAGCTGGACAGGACGCCACGGCTTCCCAAGAGGTGTCCTGGGCCAGGGGGTGCCTGTCCCACTGCCCCRGGCGTGTCCAAGGACTCTCCTGCCCAGCTTTGTCCGTGCTCCTGAGAGAAGGGTGCCTTGGGGGGGACTTGGCCTGGTCAGCACAGAGAAGGAGACGAGCACTCACGTTCCCCTGCGCTTTATTGTTTATGAAACAAATGGACAAAGGGAAGGAGACAATCATCATGCCGACAGCAGCGAACACGGGGACAGGGAAGGCTGGCTTCCAGGTCTCTGGAAGTCACTCAGTCGCACACCTGGCCTGTGGCTCAGGGGCCTCAGAACATCAAGAGTGCCTCAAGCCAGTGACTGCCCAGCCTCTGGACGTCTTGATTCTGTTTTAAAGAACAGCTCTGATGGCATCGACGCTCAGGGGGTGGCAGCTCAGAAGCCCGCCAGGCAAAGGCAGGAGAGTGGGGTTGTGGCTGCGCCCGAGGAAGCCCGGCTTGGAGAAACATCACGTTCAGTCGAGTGTCTTTGCTCTGCTGCTTCTCCTACAGCAGAAGGACCAAGCTGTGCAGGACGTCTCACCAGAGTCCGGCAGGGGACTGTCCCAGTTCCAAGGAGAAGAGGTCTGCAAGGGTCAGCACAGGGCCAGGTGCAGCCAAGAGTCCCTCCCACCACCGCCGAGCTTCTGTCGCAGGGTGAGGCAGCCAGGCAGGGATGCCATGATGAATGGACTCATCCCTTCTTGGCTTAGTCCTGCCTTACCTCTGTCCCCAACCACCCCCACCTCCCCAGCACTGGGACGAGACAACAGGGACCAACAAGGAGCCAAGTCTGTGTGAAGCTTCCACAGAGAGGAGGCTGCAAAACTCCCACAGGGAGGAGGAAGGCCATGGAGAGAAACCCAGGAGGTGGCAGGACAACCTGCAGAACAAAGCCGCCCTGGTCAAGGGTCAGCTGCCGGCCGGCCAGAACCCAGGGTGCCTCCTGGGTCAGGGAACGAGACATTCAAGTCATCCGTGAGAGTCCTGAAGGGCAAGGCGCCTTCTGAAAGCTGCCAGGGAATGGCCGCGAGCCAAGCACTCAGACACCACTGTAAACTGGCTTTGCTACCTGTGGCTGCTTAGTGACAACTTCCTGCCGCTSGTGGCAAATTTATTCACTGTGACTTTGCTCTGTGGGGTGAGATTTGGTGATTCCGTTTGATAAGAGAGGAAACTACTTTAGTAAAAATAAGTTAATAATTAAAACCTCACAGTGCTACACAGCCCTAGAACATTCCCAAAGGGCGGAAGCAGGGTCCTTGGCTGTGGGGTGGCTGGGAGCAACCTTGCAGGGTGCCAGTCAGCAGTGGGCAGGTGTCCCCAGAGGCCACCATGCTCCATGCATCCTGCAGTGTAAACATTTACTTTCCAAGGGTCTGGGGGCGCATGGAATGGATGCCCGGGTTTGAGAGGAGGATGGGAGTAGCTGGGAGCTCCTCACGGCAGGCCTGCCTCCACTCCCTGTTTTCCAAGACAGGGCACCTGCTTCAGTGCTCTAGGCGCTCCTGAAGCACCGACTACACAGAGAGCTCAGGGAAAGGCAAGCCTGGGAGGCCAGGTGGGCCAGAGGGGGCAGAACCTGGTGGGCAGCCGGCAGCCCAGATCAAGATGCCTGCAGCGGTGGCCTCTGCAGCCGCCCGGCAGTGCAGAGCTGGGAGCTGCCAGGTCCCAGTGGCCTCCCTGCCGCTCACAACCTCAGGCTGCTCCACGCCAGGAACTGAACTCCCTGCTCTGGGGACGAAGCCAGAAACACACCTCATGGTTACAAAGAGAAGACAACAGAAGTGAGTCCCCTGGGCTTTACAGAACCAGAGGCCCGGCTCAGCCTTGCTGGCGTTGGGAGCATTTTAATCTATATGAACTCTATTCCTTCATACTTCACACTTCCTATCTTGGTTTCTGGGAGGAGGACGCGCCCATCAAGTGTGAAGGCCATGATGTAGGTGGCAACGATGCCAGTGTCCTCTTCGGATTTGAGGGCCACGATTATCTGGTCGTCAGTGTTGGGGATGAACTTGAAGGATGAGAAGCCGTGTGTGGGGATCAGCTCCCCAACACGGCGGACGGAGATGTCCCCGAAGTCCTGGGCCGCGCTCAGGAGGAGGTTGGTGCCCTTGTGCTCATCTTCCTTCTCACTGTAGCGCTCGTGGCTGGCYCTGCGAGGCAGGAAGAACCAGCGCTGCAGGGTGTCGCTCCAGCAGGCAGATTCGTGAATGAGGTAGCCTTAGGGCACAGGACAAACAGGTCACCGAGCACATTCGGCAGGATGCCCCTGCCCGTCCTCCCCTCCCATCAGGTGTGCTGGCCCTCGCTGCAGTGGCAGGGAGCAGGGACTCAGGACGTGTGGGCAGCAGGAACCGAGGGCCCTCACCGACCTTTCTGTGGCTGGTGACAGCACAGGCAGGCACAGCAGACAGCAAGTGCCGCTCTAAGCCTTTGGTAGCCTGGCTCCTGCTGCTGACCCAGGTGCCCATGAGCCAGGCATTCTATCTCTATTTTTGTTCCCTTGGTGCTAATGAAGGGGCACAGAAAGGAGAAAGGGCCCAGAGAGGGGACAAAATTGACCTGTGGGCAGAGCCACCAGAGGGGAGGCAGCCTGAGGCAGAGGAGGCCTGCCCCTCCCTTCCAGGACAGGAGCACCTGCAGGAGGAGCTCGGCTCAGCCACTTCCTCCTGCACCTGGAGCTGCCCCAGCCTCCAGAGAAGACACACCCCTGGACAAGGGTGGAGGAAGGCGGCCAGAACTGGCCACCTCCTCCTGCTGTCGCTGGGAGGGACCGTGGCCCCAACCTCTGGAACAGAGACAGCCCACGCCGGGGCTGCTCCTGTGTGGACCACGGGGTGCGGTGGAGGTACTGTCCGGACCAGGCAGGGACAAAGAGAAAATGGCTCCTGAGCCCTGGAATCCCTGGCCGGAGGGCAGCAACCACAGAGAGAGAACCCTGTCACTGTGCCTGGGCCGGAGCCGGCCTCGTGGGCCCCTTACCTGGGGGTCGGATCCCAGCGGCGGCCCTCAGGGCATTGTAGCTGGACACCCAGTTCTCGTGGTCCACGCTGCCCCTGTGGCCCACCACCTTCACCCACTCGGGGTTCTCATTCATCACCTCCCCGGTGGTGGTGGTCCACTCCTTGCCCAGGCCGCCCACGTACAGGTGCTCGTCCTTCACAGCCAGCCACTCCGCTTTGAAGCCTGAGGAGAGAGGAGGAGAGAGGAGGAGAGAGGAGGAGAGTGCCTGCGGCTCGCGCCCCCTCGCCGCACCCCTCACCCCACGCCGGGCCTGCAGGAGCTGCCGCCAGTCAGGCCACGAGCCCTGGCAGCGCAGCAGCTTTGGACATCAGAAGTCACGGCATTTCACTGGGCAGGGCAGGAGCCAGGGGCAGGAGTCTATGCAGAGCCCCACACCCAGGCGTCCCAGAGACGGCAGGACCTCCCTTCCCCTTTCTGCCCTCTGAGGAAGACCCCACTTCCTTTGGCAACCCTAGCAGGAAGTCTCTGTGAGTGGCTTGAGTCCCCTCCCCCCCACCCCCAAGACCACTCTCAGATGCTGGAGCAGCGCAGGCCTGACAGCCCTGTGGTCTGCGGCGGGACTGCCCAGRAGGCCTGTGTTCAGATGCGGCTGCATTCTGATGTATCTATTCAGGAACCACCTGTTTTTTTCTTAGGGACTTATTTACTAYGAACCAACCTTTGAAGGCTGCAGCACAGTTCAGGCTGGGGGCCTTTGTTCTTCTAGCACATTCTGACCTGTTCTAACCCCTGGATGCTAACTTGTGGTTGTTTCCCCAAATATCCTGCAAGCTTCTCAGCTCCCAGGAGCTGGAGCTCCAGCCCCTCCCTGCACTGGGGACAGCAGCTCCCAGGTGGCTCTGGGGTCCTGCTGAATTCTGGCAGCCCCAGTGCCCTCGACAGTCGCCTGAGCCGCATCTGTGATAAGATGCTCCGTTCACTGGGTCTTCAGTCCCTTCTGGACCCCTGAGCACAGGCCAGTCCCAGAGGCCCTGTGGCCCTGCTTTCTTCCTGGCCCAAGAGGAAGAAGGAAACCACACAATGATAGCCTAAAGCCCTGATGGACATGAAGCAGGAAGCTGGGCAACCAACATCGTTTGATTCCCACAAGGAGATGTGTCCCTCCAACACCCAGCCGGGGGCAATGCTGGATTTCATCCCCGGGAGACGGCCTGAGGCTGCCAGGGGAGCACAGTTAGAGCAATTCCTTCTTTGACCTGAAAGAGCCTCCAGGTGCATTTAGCTTTCTAAAAGGGGCAGGTCCCCAAAGAGCTCAAACTGGGACAATGAGCCAACCTGGCAATGCCCTGGGCTCTCTCTCCATGTGATAGCTCTGCAGCTCCTCCCTGCCCTGCAGAAGCAGTAACTCCTTCCTGGCAAACCCAAGCTCAGGGCTGGGTGCTAGTGGTGGGCTGGAATGGTGGCTCCTTACCACCGCCCTGCCGGCTTGCTTCCGGGCAGAGCACGATGGTTCAGGAGACCTTTTCTGTAGGCTCAGGGCGGCAGCAGTGGCTTCCCAGGTCCAGAAGCTGAGATCAAAGTCTCGCTCAAACAGAACCACGGGCCACCATGGTTTCAAGGTAAGGTACTGGGGGATGGACCCAGCCCAATCCCAAGATGCCTATGAAGATACACAAAGGGACATGGTTCTGAAGGAGAAAAAGCAGAAGTGACATGGTCCTAAAACTCATTCTGGAAGAAATGTCCCACTCTCTAGTGGGCTCTAGTGATAAGCTTTGACTTTTAGAAACAGCTGGGTGTGATGGGTGTCTCCTGTTCATGGTGGGGGTGCAGGGCTGAGTAGGTGAGAGCTCGCACTTCTGGCTGTATGAAGTCTTCACCAGGCACCAGGGTTACTTTTCAACTGCAAACCCAACTAAGCCAGCTGGCCTGGGGTCCCCCAGCACAGGCCCTGATGAGAACTTGCCAGAAGCAGCTCCCTTTAGGGGCTGGGACCTGGCTCGGGTAGAGCATCTGCCTGGCATGCATACGGCCCTGGGTCAGCTTCCCCAGCACATCAAAAACAGGTGAAAACAGAGGTGGCTCCATTTACCTTTCTCCACGGTCCCATCGCCATCAGACAGAATCACCCAGGGCACAGCCTTCGTGCCTTCGATCTGGTAGATGACCCCCGTGCGGTCATCCACAGAGTAGAGTTTCCCATTAAAGACGACCAGATCAGAGAGCTCCATGCCCCTTCCCTTTTCTGCCAGGTGGGACTCTAGGATCCCATGGTCTTTGTCCCACTCAATGGTCACTTTGTCCCCACTGTCTGACAGGGTCAGATAGCCCTTCTTCAGGTAACTGAACCAGGTGTTTTCCTCCTGAGCCTTAGACTCTGTGTCCAGGTCAGCAATGACTGCAATTCGGTACCGAAGTCCACCTGGCGTCCTCTGGGGGGCCGAGAGGGGGTAGGTGTCATTGTAGTGGGCAGCAGGCGTCTGGCCAAGTCTCCAGTTGTGTGCATTGTGAGCAAGAGTCCTGCCCGGGGCTGGGCGGTGGGAGTACAGCAGCCAGAAGAGGGCTGCGCCCACGAAGGATGTCAGGATCACCCTCCAGCGGGGACGGAAGCGGGGGTCTGCGGCCTTGGTCATGGACGCCAGCACAGGAAGTCCCCCCACACTTATCCGGAGGGAGTGCATAGGCTCATTCCATTCCAGGTGGTCAGAGGGCTGGACGGGCATCAGACTGAGCACCGGGCAGAACCTACACCCCAAGGAGAGAGGAGAGTGGTCAGCAAGCAGGAAGCACATGGTCTCAGCAGAGTGTCCAGGCTGCAGTCAGGCTTATCCAGAAGAAACGGGCTTTCATGGCTTTGTCAAAGCCTGACCCCAGCAATCTTTATTTACTCTTATTCAGCAAGACAACATCTTTTTAGAAGAAAAATTATCCCCTGTCCCTGTCCCAGCTGGCAAGACATAAAGATGAGCAAGAATGAGGGGTTTGGGGTGGGCTGGTGTCTTACAGACTCTCTAAAGGGGAACAAGCAGGGGAGTCAAGTGGGGAAGGGAGCAGGGCAACAGAAGGGGCACAGACCCAAATGTCACCTCCTATAAGCCCTCCCCATGTTGCACAGCGGGACTGTTAATTTCTGCCTCCACCTCAGCACCCCCAGCTCCCAGTCAGTGCCCAGCACAGACCSGATGGGGCTTAGTAGGTGAATGAGGCTTTACTTCCTGGGCCAAGCCCATGAAATGAAAAATAAAGCAGATGGGAGCCAGGCAGAAGACCTCCACTGACTTGATGTGCGGCTGGAAGCAACTCCTCCCTGGCGCCTTCTACCAACTTCCACGACTGCAGGGACAGAGTCCGAGCCACTCCTGCTGCCGGGGGCCCAGCCTGTGTGTACACAGGCTCCAGAGGACTGCTGGGCTCACCCAAGGCCTTGGCCAAGCCCTGGGCTCCTCCCGGGCCACACCCCAGGCAAGTTCAGGGTTGGGCGCTGGTGGTGGTGGGCAGGGGTGGCCGCTCTTTTCCACACCCTCCTTGCTTGCTTCCAGGCAGAGAGCAATGGTTCAGCGGGACCACAGAGGTGCCAGGCCAGCATCAGCATTGCCCCCCTCCCTGGAGTGGGGAGCTGCCTGTCTCCAGGACAGTTGCCCAGTGCCATCGAGAAGCTGCTCCTGGCTCTGCTGGGGACACAGCTGGCCACTGCTCCTGGCCCTTCCACCTTCAACTTAAAGCAGTTCAGTACCTCCCTTCTGGATCAATGGAGCATGTCTGCCACCTCAAGAAAACAGGGAACAAAACACATGTGACTTCATGGGCAGCTGCTGCTCTCACAGCCAGGCAACATCTGGGAACGGTCTGGGCACCCCAGCAGCTGTGTGTGAACCTTGGGCCCTCGTGCACCTGACCACGAGGCACCCACATCCAGGCCGCAGGCCATTTACAGGGCAATGCCCTACATGGAAGCCTGCCTCTCACGTCCTCTCCTTGGACAGTCGGGTTTTAGCCTGCAGGGTCAGGTTCAAGGGTGAAGTGTGTGCATGAGGTCTGCTATTCTGAGCAAGAGTGGGAGAAGATTCCAGGCCCCTAAGGGCTATGGCAACCACCTCACAGGGTGGGTCTCTTGGGCAAGGGCTGCTTCTTGGCAATGGCCACAGGTGGCCACTGGGGCCTTCCTGCCTGGAGGACTTCTCCCTGATGGGTTCTGTTTCTCCCTGTCCCTTTTCAACCCTAGGGCTTCAAACACTGGCAAGGCCCAAGAGTCCCAGTGGTTTATCCTTCGCCTGGATGTGACCACTGAGCTCTGAATTCTTCCATCTCACCTCCTATGCAAAATGCTGCCTGCATTTCCAACATGCATTTTAAACATGATGTTTCAAAACATAAGTCCTAGGCCCCCTCCCCTCAAGCCCCTCACCCCATCTTCCCACGAATAGCATGGTGAGGAGGCTACCATATGCACAGCTGCCAAGCAGAGACTCTCACCGGAACCTAGGAGGTGCACCTTTCTGAGTGGGTGTTACACTTCAACGAAAAGATACCAACCACCACAGAAATCCTGAGTGACCTATCCCTCCCTTTTCATTCCCAAAGTCCACTGGCAGAGCTAACCATTCAAAACTGGCCTCCTATCCCTGGCTCCCGTCCATTTCTAGACTCAGCCCTCACTAAACCACGCCAGCAGCCTCCCTCAGTCCCTCTGCAGCCACTGTCCTCCCTGGCAACCCATTGCCACCCAGCAGCCTGCACCACAGCCTATGGGACCTTCAGGCTCCTCGTTCCAGGAACACAGTCCTGCAGCCTCCCGTGCAGCCCTCCCCACTCTCCACCACCTCCCCTGCTTGCCAGCCCCAGCCATGCTGGTCTCCTTTGGTCCTGGCTACCACAGCCCTCATCCCCAGGGCACAGCTTCTGTTCCCTTGCCTGGGACACTGTGGTCCTGCTCTTTGCATGGCTAGTTCACTTCCATCTTCAGGATTTTCTGAATGTCCACTCCTTGGAAAGACCGTATCCCTCCTACCCTCCACCATCTGTAGCCTTATGCAACTGTTCTTGCTCTGCCTTGAATTCTGTGCAGGGACTTACTCTACTGTCCCTCACACTCAGCTTACCACTGGGCAGCTGGTAGAAACTTGGTGCACATTTGCCAGAGGAATGAAAAATAAATGTCGTAGTTGGCCATTATTCAACTGCCCCTCAATACCCTGTCTCCTCTGTGCCCCCAACCTAGTCATCCTGCAAACTCACAGCTTGAGATCAAGTACCTGACATGTGACCGTTTAGCTGCATATCTGAGCTGCAGGTCCAGGGAAGATGGCACCTGCTGTCACACACTGTGCTGCCGTCGTCCTCCCTGGCCCTGGAGCCCCTGCAGGTATTGCTGCTCAGCTCTCTCGACATCCCTATGTCACCAACCACATCTCCACCATTCTTGTCAAAATTCCAGCCCACTGCTCCCAGCAGCCCCTCTTGCAGCAGCTGAGGCCTGGGTGTGGCCACACCCCTACACTTTGTGTCAGGGAAAGGGTTTCCCTCTGCCACTCAGCTCGGGGTCCCCAGCAGGCTGGGTGCTTGCTGCTGCCTCCTCTGGCTCACCTTACTCACTCTTCAGACTATTCATGGGACACGGCAAGTACTGAACTTTGGTTTGTGGACGGCAGATCTGTGAACCCATGAAGGGGGACAAGTCCTTCCTGAGCCCCTGGCACCCACACTCACTGGTCCCCCTCTCCTTGAGCCACTGCACAGCCTGGATCTGAACTTCCTGCATGTTCTCTGTGCCTCTCAGTGCTCTGTCCCTCCTAAAACCAGGGGGCCTCTCTGCTGGCCCCTGGGGCTGGCTTCCCTCTCTGCCAGTGTACAAGCTCAGTCACTACCTCATCCTTGAGCTCTCCCATGGCTTGACCTCTGCAAGGAAGGCCCTGCGCCTCTGTGGCTACACCCCCCTGAACTGCAGGCCAGTTGAGCAGCCACATTCCAGGCCCCTGGGCACTAAACAGATTCCTCCGCAGGAATTTACTCTCCTGGCTAAGGATGGGCCCAACCTCGGGAGCCATCTGGAGCCGTAACAGCTTTCTGGTTTCCATACACCCAGGCAGGCACCAGGCCACTTGCACTGCCCGTCCCCGCATCCTGCCTAGTCCTCTCACCCTGATAACGTCCGAGGGCTCCTAATGACCTAGAACTTGCAGGTGAGAACTTACCATTTCTAGTTTTCAGACCTCAGACAAGGGACTTCCCTTTCTCAGCCTCAGTTTGCTCCCTGGTGCCACACTGAAGGGAGAGGGCTGCCCCGGCCTGACTGCCATCTTTCCTCTGAAAAGCACTGTTTACCTACTTCAGCCTGTAGAGAAGACCGGGGTCTTCAGGCCCAGCCTCCCTTGAGCGCTCCACCGGCACGACCTGGGGTCACTCACAATTCTAGACTCCAGGTGTCTAGACCCCACTCAGGGTGTTTCCTCCACCGGGGATGCTGGTCTTCTCTGCCCACAAGGAACCACCACAACTCCCCGGAAGTGCCAGGACAGCCCTGCTCCCTGCTCTCCTGCCTTGTGTCTGAGGTGAGTACTCCTCCACATGCCCCACCCCCAGCAAGCCTCCCTCCTGGAGGAAGCCGATCCTGGCCCCAGGATACCCAAGAACTGGGGCTGGGGTTGTGGCTCAGTGGTAGAGCACTTGCCTAGCATGTGTGAGGCACTGGGTTCGATCCTCAGCACCACATAAAAATAAATAAACAAACAATTGCCAATATTAAAAAAAACAAGAAGAAGAACCTAGGAGAGTGACCTTGTATGGCAATGTGAACTTTGGAGATGTGGTTAAGGATTCTGAGTTGGGAAGGCGGGCCGTAGGCCCTAAATGCAAGCACAGTGTCTTTTTATAAAGGGGAGGCAGGAGATCGATGGAGACAGAAGAGAAGGCCAAGTGACCTCAGAGGAAGAGGTAGGGTGACATGGCCACAATCCAAGGAACACCTGGGCCCCCTAAAACTGGAAGGACAAGGCATGGATCCCCCTCTAGAGCCTTCGGAGGGAGTGCAGCCCTGGGGACACCTGATTTTGACCTAGTGGATTGATACTGGTTTCAAGTTCTCTGGCTATTCAATCTCCATAACCTTGAGAGGAAAAGCGTGTGCTTCCTTACGCCACCAAGTGTGTCACCTGCTAGGGCACCCTAGGAGAGGAAGACCCTCCCAACAGCGTCCTTTRTGCACCAGCACACCACACAGCCCAGCCTGGCCAGGTGAGCTGCTGGAGGGAGGCTCTGCCTCAGCACAGGACCTCGGCGGCCACAAGGCGGGAGGTCTGGCCTTCCAGAGTAACCTTCCTGCCCTCCTTTAGCACTGGGAGTTGCTGTGTTTTGCAGAAGTCTCCCTTGCCTTTGTTCTCCATGGCCCCACACCGGGTTCTGCCCGAGGCTGACTCTGGGTGCCTTGGCTGCCCAGGCCATCAAGCCAGGGCTTCCAGGGCTTCCGGAAGCTTCATTTAAAAGACACACAGCCACCAGCAACAGAAGCCAGGGCAGATGAAAGACAAATGGACAGGGGCTGGTCCCAGAAGAAAGGAGCTGAGCCTGTCCCCCTCACACCCTTGTACCTCAAAGGTGAAAGAAGCTTGTCACCCCCACCTGCAGCATAAAGTTTTCATAAGGAAAAAAAGAACCAAGGCTGCAGTGAAAAGACCAGGTTCCTGGGCAGCCAAGCACCTGGCAGGAGGCCTGCAAACAAGTGTCACCCAGGCTCAGAAGCCTTCCAGGACCGCACCCTGCTAGCCGGCTTCTTCCCATGTTGTTGGTGCTCCCTGGAAAGAGCAACCAGAGCACCAGCTACCTTAGAGGCTCTGGCTCCCGATTCCTCTACCCCTTTTCTAGGCAGGCACTGATAAAGGCTCACCGACCTTCAGGCATTTCGGATTCCTTTACCAAAAAGCCAGAAACAGCAAGGCTCAGCAGTGGCAGACACAGACAGATGTCTGCCCACTCCAAAGGACGTTTTTAGGTAGCATGGGAGCAGCAAGGAAACAGAGTGTTTTTCTCTATGCACACCCAGGAGGCCACCCAGGCTGTGTCCCTATCCTGGGAGTGAGTAGCTCCTCCACTGTTAGGAAGAGCCGTGACTCAGAAGACACCTACCTCCATGGAAACCCCAGGCCTGCACCCACTCTCCACCACGAGCAGAGGGATCAGCAGTGCCTACACAGCAGACAGCCGGCCAGTCTACAGGTCTCTCCTACTTCCTTAAGAAGTGCAATAAGGCAGGTGGCAGAGCTAACAGGTTTCAGGCACTGTCAGAGCAGACTCCTCCCATTCAGGATCCAGGCAGGGCGGGACAGCTCTCGGTGCTGGGTCTCCCCGTCCCTCACTCCTGCACTGGAGAGAATGCGCGAAGGCAAGTCTCACAGAAAGGGACGCTTGCTTACCCGCGCTACTACTGCCCTTGAGCCCATTTCAAATCTGGACAGGTGGGCAGCACAGGGAAGTAAGAAAGCAATGCCTGCCCCCCAAGGCCCCCAGCTCAGGGTCCTCGAACTCAACACCTCCACCCACCCACACAGGGTCCTGCAAGGAAAGGCACTCGCAGCTGCTCTTGGCACCAACTTGTCACTTCAAAATGACTTGTTTTGGGGGCTGGGGATGTGGCTCAAGTGGTAACGTGTTCGCCTGGCATGCGCGGGGCACTGGGTTACGATCCTCAGCACCACAAAAAAATAAAATAAAATAAAGATGTTGTGTCCACCAAAACCTGAAAAATATCAAAAAAATTCTCTCTCTTAAAAAAAAATGACTTGTTTTCAGCCTTGGTTTTTGTTTTTAGTACTAGGGATTGAACACAAGGGCACCGAACCACTGAGTCACATCCCCAGCCCTTTTCGTATGTTTTATTTAGAGATAGGGTCTCACTAAGTTGTTTAGGGTCTCGCTCAATTGCTGAGGCTGATTTTGAACTCGGGATCCTCCTGCCTCAGCCTCCTAAATTGGTGAGATTACAAGTGTGCACCACTACGCCTGGCTGGGTTTTTATTTTTTAAGTCAACTACTTATGAGCAGGGTGTTAGTTTCCACTGCTGTTTTAACTAATTTCTACAGACTCAGCAATTTAAACATCACAAAACTATTTCAGTCCTGTAGGACAGAAGTCTGACAAGGGTCTCACTGGGCTATAATCAAGAACTGGTTGGTTCCTTTTCCAGTCTCTTGGGGAGAATCCACTTCCTGGCCTCTTCCAGCTTCCAGAGGCTGCCTGTTCCTTGCCTTGTGGCTCCTTCCCCCCCTCTGACGTCAGCCACATGGCATTACTGGTGCCTTTCTGCTGTCACTTCTCTCTCATTCTTCTACCTCCCTCTTCCACTTTAAGGACTCCACGTTCATGTGGGGCCCGAGGGAAAATGCAAGAGACCAACCCTGTTTCCGGACCTGAACTCCCCTTGGCCTGTAACTTAGCATATTCACAGGTGGGGAAGGGGATGGGGCCTGGCCCTTTTGGGGGCTTGACTATTCACACCAAGCCTTTTAATGAGTTGGGCCACATAGCTTCACACCTCTACAGTTCGAATTTCTGTTTTTGCTTAATTTATATCACTTCAAGAGTTACCCAAACCCTGCTGAGATACCCCAAACAACCCTATCCTCCACTTTCCCAGAATGCCTGAGAATACAGGGTTTCAACAGTCCCTGATGGACCCAGTCAGAGCTCATTCCAGACAGTTCAGTGGCACCCTCATGCTTCCCTCAGTGTGGGCTCCTGGGACAGGCGGGCAGTAGACCCTTGGAGCCACTCCACGTGGCCTGGCCACTCACCTGCACTACATGCTCAGAGCTCAGTCACCCTGCTCAGTGTGAAGCCAGATGTCAGCTCAGAACTTCTGACTTCCCACAGCATCTTCCCCTGCCCACTCAGCTCCTGGACTTACTATAGAGAAATAATGAAGATTAAAAAAGTGTGGACCAAAAGAGGAAAATAAACAACTTCCCAGTTTTCTCTAGTATCAAGATTTCTTTTTCCTAACCAATACCTTGGCTCAATGAAAAGGAAAAGCAACATAAATGTTTTTAAAAATCAGTACAAAAGTTTTAAATTCCCTTAATCTTGGCATTTGACACAAGCTTCTGGGCGAATCTCAATCCGCAGAGGGCACTGTCCCCCCATATCCTAGTACCATTCCACAGATAAACGACCTCCCAGTGGCAATGACCCACTTTACACTCTGGACCCAGCTGCAGATCCCAGCTCACAGCACACGCTAGAGCATCTGCATGYCCACCCCAGGCAGCTATGGGAGGGCCATCCTCACTGTGAAGGACCTTCTCAAACAGAGGTGACCGCCCGTGTGTATTCTTGGGAACCTGTATGTGGGGCCACATGCACAGGACAAGGACAACTGCTTCCACTGCACCCCAGGACTCTCCTCACCACTCCTGTGCTCAGGGCCGCACGACATGTCAGGCACACAGGTGACAGATGGGCAAGCATGTTCTCCTGTACCAAAAGCTTAAGCCCACACACTCACTAAGTTGCTCTGGGCTGCGAAAACCCGGTCACACCCATCGGGCCCATTCAGTTGCAAGATTATGATTTTGTCCACCTCTTTGGATGTAACACAAGCTTTGGGGATCGGGTCAATTTGGACAAGAAAAAAAGTGACAGACGTAGAGTATTGTTCCTAGACTGTTGTGGTGGCCTTGTGACAATGCCTAGACAAATCTGTGCTTCACTTGAGTTCTCTTCCTGAGGACACGCTGGGCCACATGCAACAAGAAACCCTTGCCTCATCCAGAGAGCAGGCTGGCTCCTCCAATCTGCTTTCTACAGGGTTTTTGGGCACACAGAGAAGGCTCACTGAGGGCAGTGGGTAGAGGCCCCAGGGAGACCACTATGCCAACAGGCTCCAGCTGAACTGTTATGCTGAGACCTGAGGAGGGGCTARAAGAAGGGTCTGCACCCCAGACCAAGAGGATGGTCCTCAGCCAACATGCTCACAACAGGAAGGAGCTGCCAATTCAGCTCCTTCAAGGCTGCAGCACATGCTCCCTTGTCACACAGGTCCTTCTGAGATCTGGTGCTTTTCTCAAGTTTTGGCCAGTCAGATCCCCTTGACACCAGCAGACTCAGGTTCCAATCCTGTGCAGTGTTGAGAACATGGTGGAAGACGATGCCAAGCAAACCCCGGAAGGGAAAGAGCAATGGAGCTGGCATGCTAAGGGACCAGTTTTCCTGGGGTCACTGAAGGGAAGAAGATGCCCGGGAGAAAAAGAGTTTGCTGGAGGTAGATGGAAGAGAGATCATGGTGGCCCTGGGCCAGACCTAGGAACAGAGGGAAACGAGAACTGTTCAGACGGAGAGAAGCAAAGGCACCAAGCCACAAGAATGGGAAAGGGGTGCCAGTCCCCAGGGATGGGAGACTCGGGCTAGACTGGAGGGACAGAAACGGCGGGGAGGGAGGACAGTTTGCGAGTAAAAGATGGAATGAGATGTGCTGCCTAGAGGAAGGCTGGGTCTTGGCGACGGGGTCCTGGGTAAGGCAGARCGGGCAAGAACTGGGGCGGAGCAGGAGGCGGCGTGACAGGTGGGAAGGGGCGTCGCCCGTCAGTCGGGGAGAGGCGCGGCACAGGCCGGAGCAGGCCTGGGTTCCGGGTGGCGAGGAGGGAAGGGGACGTCCCCGGCGCAGGGTCCCGTGAGAGCCGGGCGGGCCTCCCACCAGGCCGACGGGAGCGCACTGCGCTGCAGTCGGCGGGGAACGTGACCCGCACTAGACGCGAGAGGAGGCGTCCGCCCGCAGGCTGCGGGTCAGGGCCCCGCTCGCGCAGGGAGCCCCCGGGGCCAGGGCCGAGCCGCGGCTGGGTGGGGGCGGCGGCAGGCTCCGGGCCGCGGCGATCGAGGGCGCCGGCCCGCGGGCGCGCCGTCACTCACCCGCTGCCGGCCAGGCTCCGGTGCCCTGCGGCGGCCGCCTCGCTGCGCAGGGCCGGACGCGCGGGCCACCACTTCCGCCCGGACGCGCGTTCCCGGAAGCCTCTGTTCTGCGCCTGCGCCACATGGTTCGGCCGCGCGCTCCCGGCGGCCCCGCCCCACACGACCACGTGTTTCCGGCTGCGCGCCTGCGCGCCGGGCTGGCCCAACGCCGCGACGCTGGCCTGCAGGTGGGGCGGCCAAGGCTCCGGGGCTRTCGGGCCCCAGCCCCTTGAGGGGCCTGGGCCCAGGTCCTCCCGGCCCCGAGGAGAGGGCTGTTGCTAGTTTCACGTGGTTCCTCTGGCAGAAGCTTAATGACACAAAGTCCTGAACACATAACACTAAATTACCTGTTTAAAAACTGTATTTTTCAAGTGACAGCGACCTCTACCCCCCAGGTCTTGGATTGAACCCAGGGCCTMATGCATTCTAGGAAAGGGCTCTACTACAGAGCTGCACCCCCAGCCAGGTAAACTTCCTTAAAAAAAAGAAGAAAAGGACAGAAAGTGTGCTGAACCCACTGTCTTTGCTGAAGGAAGCTACAAATCTTTTTTTTTTTTTTCCTTTTTAATTTTTGTAGCTATTAATGGACCTTTATTTTAATTATTTCCGTTGCTGAGAATCGAACCCAGTGCTTCACACSTGAGAGGCAAGCACTCTACCACTAAGCCACAACCCAAGCCCCATAAATTCTTGAATTCATTGATGTCTTGCTAAATGGAGTCCCAACACATTCTATGGGTTGTTATTGTAAATTATCCAAATCTTTTAATTACTATGATACCTACATATGCATTCCAGCTTGGAAATGACATTGTTCCTGGTATCTTTAAAGCTCTCCAAACCCTTCCCATTCCCAAYCCCTTTCTACCCTCCAGAGCTAGCCATGATCCAGAATGTTACTGTTGATCATTTTCTTGCCTTACTTTATGGTTTTTGCATATAGATGTGACACTATATTGTTTAGTTCTACCTATTTTAACCTTTAAAAACAACATGAAACTATGCAGATGCAGTTGTTCCATGAATACTATCAGGCATTTAAGTTTTGCTGATCTGCTGCCGTTAAATGTCTTCTCCCTGCCTGATAACTTGGAGAGTTTGGACCATTTATTCTTCTGTGGATGCCCTAACATCTCAGTGCTATTTTAGGAAATAATTCATCCTTTTCCCCATTAATAGGCAGGTAATGCCAGTTTTGTCATACATCAAGTTTCAGTGCACACRTGGATCTATTCGGGGACTCTTACTTTGTATTGATATTTCAGATCTGCTCTGATGCCASTTCATTATTGTCTCATTATATTAGTCTTTATATGTTGTAGAACGTGTCCCCCGATCCTCAACTATTTGGGATGTTGAGTGGAATTGTTTTGAGTCTATAGATTAGTTGAGAGAAATCTGAGGATTTTATGATGTGGAATTTTCTGCCCAAGACCAATTTGCCTTTCCACTTAATTCMGCTCTTTGCTGTTTTTCAGTGCAGTTTGGTTTTTCGCTTCTCATTATAGCTTGGGATGGTTCCAGCTCACCGTCGAGAGAGACGTTTCATTCTCTAATCAGTTGCATGGCATTCTGCTGTGTGACTGTGTTGTAATTTACTTTACCAGGCCCCCAAGAGTTCTTTCAGGATACCTGTGATCTTTTTTATAGGACAGCAGTGCTTCCGGGTTGTCCCTGTGTGATTCAAACACAGTTGTCCTGGGTTTAAAGTGGTATTTGCATACTAGGAGTGAACATACACTCCACAAAGATTGTGTTGTGAAATTGCTGCCCTTGAGGTCAACAGCGACACAATTAGGTTTCCATTCGATTTTCATTATTGTCTTTATGTCGTGAGAGAATTTACCATGGCTTCTGTTGGGGCAGAAAGGCATAATACTCCTTGCCTAGCACGGGGGTCGTGGCCCAGGCTCCTGGAACAGAAGACAGTAGCAAGAGTAAAGCATGACAAATTCCTCGGAGTTTTGTTTTGGGTCTTCGTAAAACAAAGACCCAAAGACCCAGATTTGATGGTCGAACAGATTTTGAAATGTGATGGGACAAAAGGAGGATAACCTAGAGGGAGGGATCAGACCGGGGAGGGGAACCCAGCTACRCCTGTTTGTCCAGCTCCTTCCTCCTGAGAGTCGGGCAGGACCCTTTCTGAATGAAGGTCATATAACCTACCCTCAGACAAGGTAGATCAGAGAAATTCTTTCTGGCCTGCTTCAGAGTAAAGGTTCTAGGCTTTATGGCTGGCTTTGGGGCAGAGGGATTCTAGCTTCCTCTCTCCAGGGAGAGAGGGGCTGAAGGCCAGAGAGAGGCTGTGTCCAGGCCGCTGCCGAGGCCTTGCGTCTCCTGCGAAGCAGGCCGCGTGCACAGCAAGCGTGCACAGCACCTTATCTGTGGCTTCGTGTTCTGAGCCTCCAAACCTTGGGCCCTTTTCTCCTTTGGTTTCCGTGGCACATTTCTTCACCAGCATTCATTCTTTCAGGCARCCCTTCCACAATCTAGTGCTTAGGGCTGTGCTGGCCGCCAGGGGGCCCTCTCATTTCATCTCATGGAGTGGACTGTTGCGTCATTGTTCTGTCCAAGCCTAGTCTAACTGAAAGCATTCATTACCAAAATAGGGGAGTAAAGGGTTAGAGACAGAGAAACTGAGGTTGAGGGAAATGAAGTGGCTTGATTAAAGTGGCATGTAAATGACAAAAGCAAGACTGCAAGGGTAGTTTCTCACCACCCACCTCCTGGAGCCCTCTGGGAAGGAAGGCCCTCTAGCTTGTGGTTTCCTCCAGGAATGAGCCCCATAAAGAAGCAGATTAACCTGGCCTGTCCTTGCAGCTGTCGATCCTGATCTCCACCTGCCGGAGCCTCCCAGAATAGGGGAAGTGCTGTCCAGGAGCCATGAGCGCGGGCCAGTGGCCAGGAGGCTCGGCGGCTGCCAAGTTTCCACTTTTCTATCTCAGCAACTTCTCCAAGTCTCCATGGAGCCTCTCCTCACCCCTACCCCTTGGCAGTGGGTCACCACCAACTGGAGCCCTTGGGAATGGAATTCAAAAGTTTATAATACCAGTCTCTGCCTTTGTGGGGTAACTGGGCAGCCTGGCCCAAAATAGCTGGAAGGGCAGGATATGAGGGCTGCAGTGGGAAAAATCACAATACCACTAATGACGCCTTGTGCTTATCGGGAACCCAGTGTCTCACAGCCCTCAACGTAGCTTTTTCCAGCAATGGGAAAACAGACACAGCAAGTACTGATGACATGGCCTGGGAGGGGGGACAAATTGCCAAGTAGGGGAGGGCACAGAGTGTGCTGCCTGCTCCACAGGGTTCCAGAGAATGTTCCTCTGGGAGTCTCCGGCCTCATCCCACAAACAACCCTGGTCTGAGAAAGGGGGGGGCTGCTTGGGAACATCCAGGAAGCTGTAGGGCCTTGGCCCACACATGCGTGTAGATGCAGCTCCCAGGAATTGCAGCATGTGCTTGGTGCACTGCTCATTTGGAGGCCCGAGGAGGTCTCGGAGGGGGCTGGGTGTTTGTGGTTGGCTTTGACTTCTGACCCAGCGTCCCAGGGCTGATGCAGTCTGCCCCCGCACCGCTGCTGCTGGATTGGGTCTTGGTTTGTTCTGTTTTTGTTTGCCCTGACTCTTGTCCTAGCACCCACAGGAAGGTGTTGGCTACACTGAGAACATTCTGGTTCTAATTGCTCAGGGCCTTCACGGCTAGGGATGAAAGAAAATCAGGTCGTCTACAAGAGCATGCACATTTGCCAAATTTGCTGCCTTTCCTCCTTACAATCTTACGCAGAAACGGAGCTGGTGACAAGGGCAGCTGTCTGGTGTGGTGACACCATTGACTTCTCTCACTGAGCCTTGGCTGTGTTCTTTGGGAGCCGGCCTTGTCTCTGCCCGTTTGCCTGTTGGCTTAGGCTGTGGGCCACAGTGATATTCTCAACCTGGGTCCCTGCTCTTGGAATTTCCCACGCCTCTGAGCCTTCTGTTTCACAAATACCCTGGGAAGCCCCAGGCTCATTTTGCTGTATTTAATATCATGCTGCACGCCCCCCCCCCCCGCCCCGCCTCCAGTAAAATGAGTAATTCCTTTTCTAGTCTCTTGGGAAATGTGGGGACTCATCCCAAAGGAGGAAAAGAAGATTATATTGATAACAATGATAATTACCATGAACATTGTAGCACTTTGTGTCTGCCTCACCCACCTTTTTATTAATTGTGAGAGCAACTACAGGTTCCTAATTGCTTCTCCAAAACCCCCCAATACAAAAAGCTCTCAAAAGTTGATTTTTCCTCTAAATGTGCCACAAATTTAACAGATCAATGTGACTTGAACCATTGTGAGACTATAAATGGCCTTCATTTATTTCACCACAGAATAGTCCAAATGTCTTGGAAGAGTGCTGCCCAAAGCCCCCTGGTGTGAGGAGCTCCGTGACCTTTGCGGCTTACTCTGAACACAAGTGGCTCAGCTGGTTCTAGGTCAGAAACCCTGGGCCCATCTCTGCCTGGTAGGGAAGGAGCAAGGAGACCCCCCAGATTCTCTGCTCCCTGGCTGGGTCAGGGTAAGCTGACCCAGCTCTGGGACTCCGCCCAGCTCTGGGACTCAGTGCCCTTGTCCAGGTGCGCCTGCTGCAGAYGGGCATCATCCTCTGCTGTGTTCTGAGTTCCACGGTGGGGTGGGGGTGGGGGACTCCAACTCCTTGTCTTGGAATTATGTTGCAGGTGAGTTTCTTTCAGTTCGTCAATGCCAGAGCCATCTTGCATGAAGGAAAGAGAAGGAGCAACTCTTCCATCTTCTGCATCTTTTCTGAACTGTGCACCCAGCTTTGTGGATTTTGGTGTTGGCCCAGGTCTTCACTAAGTGGAGGCTCCTGGGAAGGGCAACAAGGAGCTTTCCCATTGCATGCAGGGAGTTCCCAGCCCACCAGAGTCCCAGGGGGCTCTCAGTCTGGGCAGCGGTCTGGTGGGGCTGCATAAGATGCTGCCTGCTTGCCTCCTCTGCTCTGCTTGCTGCTTTCCTGAGTATCACCACCGCACAGGCTATTTGGGGACAGT